ACTGCAGAGAGAAGGCTTGCAGGGTCAGGCTGGCACATTTTCCACCAAAATCCATTTTTGTGCTGTTCCAAGATTACCATACCTGCCACTGGGTTTACAACCAGTGTTACCTGCATCACTGTCCTTGTTGGCTTGAGTGAAGCAGCCACAGCAGCTCTTCACAACTTCAGCACAGAGGGCAAGAGAGAAGACAGGACTTCTCCCAATCCCAACAGAACAGGCTGACTAAGAATCCCAAGCCAGGACAGAAACTCTCTGCCACCCCTAACCTGCACCACTCACAGACCTAGGATAGGAATCTGCAACAGTGACACCACCCTTCACCCACCCCCACCCACTGCTTTACCTGGAGAGGATGTAGCTGTTCCAGCTGAGGGATCCCACACGGGAAGAATGGCTGGTCATATTTCGGAGATATTTCTGCTGCTGTATGTCCCATATCTAGAGAGGCAGAGCAAGAAGTTCTCCAGAGGATGAGGAAACCCAGCCCTGTTGCTTTGCCCTAGGAACCTCACTGCACAGGCTCTGGCATTCAACCATATCAGTATGGGAGCGGAGATCAATTTGTACCTCATGGCTACAGGACAGAAGGTAACCCCAAAACCCAACTCTCCTTGCCTTGATGCTGCAGTTGATCACTGGCTGTGGCTGGATGTGGACATTTCCACCCCACAGCAATCAAGGCAAGCCAGAGGGCACTGCATCCTTCTAGTGCTAGCCAAGCCTTGTCCCTGGGCCCCACAGCACTGGCAACCCCTAGACAACATCTAGTTTAACTGCTGCACTCACCTGGACCTCAGCATTACTTGTGCCAACAGCAAGGTAGTTTCCTTCTGTAATCCATGACAGAGAGGATACGTAATCATCTGGATGTTCCATCTGCAGCAGCTGGATAATCTCCCCAGAAACGTTGTTCCACAGATAGACAGAGTTGTCCAGAGCCACTGCTAGGAAGTTCTGAGAGCTCCAGTCAATGAGATTCAGATCTACAATTTGGAAGAGCAATGCAGGTCATGCTGCACTTACCTGGAGAGCCCTGGCCTTCACCAGTGCTGATGCCAGGTCTTCCACCTGCACCAGGTGTGTGCACACAGGCAGGCAAGGGGCAGCCTTCTGGGTGTCATCATGCCCAGGTAGTGGGGTCAGGTAGCCCTGATCCAAGTCATCTACACAGCACTCTGACCACTGTTCCTAAGGCTACACAGAGACACTCCAGAAGTGGTCTGTGCCAGCCCGAGCACGTAACCCAGTTAGAGCTCCAGTTCTTGGACCTGTGCTCCAGTGCGAATGATCTCAGTGCCCAGCACTCAACATTGCAGCTTACAATAGTCATTGCGGATCTCCGGTGCATCCAGGATCCTCTCTGGCATTGAGGGAATGTATCTGCCAGTCTTCCTGCTGGATCCAGGTGTCATTTTCTGACTGTACAGCACTTTCAGGTTATTCTGATAGCCTGTGTGGAGAGGAACAGGCGTGTTAACCTGAGTTACTGTTCCCCCCCAGCTGAGCACCGCTCACCCAACTAGAAATCCCTTCCACTGAAAAGCCCTGAGAGAAAAGAGAGATGCTGAGAAGAGCAGAATGTGCAAACATCACTGGCAGTATTAACTACTGAACCAGGGTGAGGCTCTGTTTAACTGACGAGTACTTTGTCTTCTGTAACGCATTATTTTTAGTGACAGTTAAGCTACCCAGTGTGATGTGCTTTGGGACAAGTGCACAACAGAGTTTGAAGCTTTTACAGACATCAGGAACGTTTGCCACCTTTAGTAGCAGTGAGCAACTAGAAGCCATTTCAATTTCTGTAAATAAATTCACTGTAGCCCTTATGCAGCTCAACTTCACAAGACCCAAGGAGGGAGACTCCGCTCTTCACAGAAGCTCTGAGAAGGCAGTTGATCTCTCCCATGTCCACACACAGAACTTCTGTGTTGCTGTTCCCCTGCCCAGATCTCTCCAGCTGAGTCAACTCACACAGGCCCTGTATCATACCTTCTGGAGCATTCTGTGGCTTCCCACTGAGGCGGAGGATCTTTGCTTCTTCTATATCAAAGCCATTCAGATTCACTGCCCAGGCTTTCTGTTGCTCCTGCAGAGACAAACCACTCTCAGCAAGACACATTTGAAACACCAAGCCCATGCTGCACTTAAAACTGCAGCTGGCAGAGCATACACTTAAGCCCCCCTTCTAGAATCAGGAGGCATACAGCCGTGCTGCAGGAGTCAGCTACAGACAGGCATCTCAAACCAGTTTTCCCTCGGACATGGGCACACTGTCCTGCTCACATTTTCATACAGAAGAGTGGCAAGTTCAGCATCTCAGTGCTAGTGAGGAAAACCACAGCCACAAGGAACCAAATGCTTCATAAAGAGAAATTTCAGAACACAGTGTACACATTCCAGAAAAGCTCCCCATGTAGACATTGTCCTAAAATAGCTACCACCAGCAGTTTCACTGTGCACAGGCTCATGGTTTTGTGTTTCTCTAGCCTGCTATATTTTAAAGCCTCATTAGCCCAAAGTTGAATTTTGCTACCAGAAGCGGCACAGGCTAGAGAGAATGGAAGTAGAGGTGTAAGGCTCTATGCATTCCCCGTGCCTAGAGAAATGTTGCTACAGAGCAGCTGTGCTCAGGCTCCTGTGTAGCAGGTGTGTACCTGTTCCATTTGCAGGCTCTACAGCATCTACCTCATCCCAGGCTCCTGAAGCCCAGAGCTGGAAGCAGTGATGGCTGGAGCTATCAGCCCCTTACACCCACTTGACAGAACTTACAGTTTGCTTCTCTGCAGAAGGCCAGGAAGGATTAGGTGCTTGGTAGTGACCATTGTTGTAATCGTAACTTAGCAACACGCTCACCTTCTTGGTAGGAGACTCCTCAGCTGAGTCATTCTCTTTGGTTAGGAGGAAATTGGCCATATCCATCTGCATAGCGCTCCGGTTGGGAATGTAGCGATCCCCTCCAGCCTTTGTTGGGGTGCTCTGGATTTTGGATCCAGATTTACCTGCATTCACATGCATAAGTATTGTTTTACAGCTAATGAACAGCCTGTATTAGAGCTTTCAAGAGACAACAATCCCAGCACTTTTCCACATCACACCTACCAGAGAAGGAGAACTCGGAACGGTCACGCCATCCAAGTCACAACTAACTCCTATTTTTGCCCCCCCTCTCCCCCCGTATAAGGCACTAAGCTCTAATTAGGAACTGCCAGGAGACAACTCCTTGGGTCTAGTGCAGCAATTCCAAAGTTCACAGAGAAGGGGAGGATGCAAAAACACTGTTACTGCGTGTAAAGCTGTCAGCAGACAGTCCCACCCACACTTGTCCCAACACACAGCTGTGCCAGCAAGACTCAGCTAAGGCCCAGCAGTTCACAGATCTCTGCCCACCCCGTGCCGGGGAGGAGAAGGTGGTGGGCTTTCAGGAGCCAGGCAGTGTAGCCCACCTCCTCCTGCTTGACCAACAGGCCTGGCTGCCTGGCATGGCGCCCAGAGCCCTGTGGCTACAGGCAAGCAGCCCAGGCAACGCTCCCCTGGCCCAACCTATGTCGCTGTTGGCCAGCACTCACCGGGTGTCTTGGATGGCGTCTTGCTGGAGCTGTGGGAGCGATTGGCTGGCTTCATGGGTGTCAAGCCTCCGGCGGGGCTGGGCCCGGGGCCACTGCTTTCCTTGGCCTTGCGCTGCCACCGGGCGGGTGGCGCGTTCAGGATCGGGGTGTCCAGCTTCAGCAGCCCATGCAGGTCCGCCTCAAACACGAACTGCGCCATGGCACTGCAGGCAGACGGCATCAGCAGGGCCCCAGGGGGACACCGGCCAAGATGCAGCCCTCCTCTGTTGGGCCACCCCTCAAGGTCCTCTCCACCACAGGGGACCCCTCACCCCCACACCTCAAGGTCCCCTCCACCACAGGATAACCCCCCTCAGGCCTCTCCACCACACGAGGCACCCCCCTTACCCCAATGTACTTTAAGAAAGTAGAATGTACTTTTAAAAAGGTAAAATATGTTTTAGAAGGTAGACTCTCTCACTAGGTAAGAATAAAGAGCTGTAAAGAGGTCCCAAGGCCCTGGGAAACCAGACACTTGGTATAAACAATAAAAGCCTCGCTAATGATTATACCCTTGAAAAAGAACAGAGGGCTGATAATAAGGAACATCCCACAACTGGAGGCACCGAAACCGGCTGAAAAGCAGCCAGCTGCTGGATAAGGCACAGAGTCCACAAAAAACTTGCAGTAAGGGGGGGAAAGGTAGAGGTGGCAGTGGGAGATCCCGACCACCGACTCCACTGGAGGCCAAAGTGGACTCCCCCCATGGTGCTGGAGCACGTGCACATCAGTTAAAGGACCGCGTCACTTTAATTGAAAGCGAGAGGCTGTACCGACCGATGGCGATTGCTAAGAGAAGGCACCAACCAATAACTATAATTAAGGGTGTGCATTGAACCATATAAATATTCCTAAGGGTTCTCAGGCCGGTGTGCCGGCTTTGGGGGCTGCCCGCCTGGCACCCAGCTCTGCGGAGATGAAATGAACAGATAAACCTCTACCCGGTGTGCACATCGGCGGCTGCGCACCGGGTGAGCGACCCGGCTTGGGGGCAACACCCCAGCCTTCTCCCCCCCCTCACCCTCACCCAAAGCCCCTTCGCCACCAGGGTCTCTCTCAGGGTCCGCTTCGCCCCCCACCTCCCCAGCGGCTCCTCAGGCTCCCCCAGGGAGCTCCGTGTCCCCCTCAGGGAGCTCCATGTCCCCCCCCCAGCTCCGCCGCCCCTCCCCTCCGCTCCGCAGCTGAGATTCGCGCAGCCCGACCCGGCAGCAGCGTTTAAAGTCAGCGGCCGCAGCCGCTCTTCCCATTGGCTGATTCAAACCCAACTGCCGCCAGCCATTGGCTGGACGGCCCGGCGGGGGCGGGCCTCTGCGGCGCCGGGGCGGCTGGGTGGGTGCTGTGCCGTTAGTGGGCGGGTCGGAGGGCGAGCGGGGCGGGGCAGCGCCGCTCCGCTTCCCTGCGGGACCGGGGGCCGGGACCGGGACACCGCGAAGGAGGGAGGAGGCTGGAGCCGGGTGGTTTCGCGTTTCGTTTATGTTGGGGGGGGTCAGAAGGGGGGGGGGGAGACGGCTCAGGGCGGCCCGCGCGGCTCCCAGCCGCTCATGAGCAGGTAGGACTGGTTGGCGATGTCGGTGCTGGGCAGGCGGCCGGCAGCGGGCTGCGGCGGCGGGGGCGGTGGGCCCGTCTCCCCGCCCCGCGGGCCGGGGAGCACCTCCAGCAGGCAGGGCAGGACGGCCTCCTCCTCCTCCGGCGGCTGCTTGTAGAAGGCGTTGGCCTGGGGGTGGACAGAGGCGGCGGTGGTGGGGGCTGCCCTCCCAGCTGCCCCAGCCGGGGGGTGCTCAGGCCCAGCCCCAGACCCTCACCTGGCCGTGCTTGCTGCTCTCATGGAGGAAGCTGCCCAGGGCGCGGTGCAGGTCGGGGACGGGGGGCCAGAGCTTCTGCTTCACGTTGCTGGGTGCGGGGAAGGGCCCGTTGAAGGCAAAGCCCAGTCCTGGGTTGCCCTGGTGCCCCCCCGGGCAGGGCGCCCAGGCCTGGTGCTGGACCCCCCGCACCTGGCCCAGGCGCAGCTCTTACCTGTAGAGGGAGGGGAAGGTGCACCGCAGCCCCAGGAGCACCCCTGTGAAGAGCAGCGGCACCACCATAACACTGGGGATGATCCAGCCTGCATCGGAGGAGGAGCGCTGGGACTGGAGCCCTCCCCAGACCCCCCACCACTGAGCCCTTCGCAGCCTGGTCACCCTCTGCCCGGTGCTCCCCATCCCCATTCCAGCATTCTCAGTCTCCCGCCCCTGGCCGTGTGGCTCCTCTGGCTGCAGCCTCCTCTTCTGCCCTGTCCCTTACCCCCATCGGCCATGGCATCAGCCACAACAGGTTCGGACCAGGCGCTCCAGCTGCCCTGGTACCACGGCCCGCTGGGCTGGGCCCGCACCTGGGCATGGTAGCGGGCACCTGGCCGTAGGTCCAGGACTTCTTTCCTGGCTGCCCGCGGGACCTGCAGGACCTGTGGGGCAGAGCTGAGCTAGAGATGATGGCTGCTGCGGGGCAGCCAAGGGGCAGCACTGGGGTGTGGGTCCATCCTGCCTGACCCCATGCGGACCATGTGCTGGCAGCAGAGGTGGGCAGGGCTGCTCGGGGGAGTCCTGGCCGTGCCTTTACCTTCCAGTCATGGCTGTTCTCCACAGCATAGCGGACTTGGTAGTCCAGCTGCTCTGCCAGTGCCTCCAGGGGTGGCAGCCACTGCAGGGTCAGCCGGCCCTGTGACACCGTCGCCTGCACAAGCTGTGGGGCGTCTGTGAGCACTGTTGGGGACAGGGATGTGTCTCATGCCGCAGGACGTGAGATGCTGTGTCCTGCACCAGCCAGGTATGGGCAAGGGCAGAGGCCACAGTGGCACTGGGACTCACCAGCCTGGTGTAGCCAGAAGGGCTCCTTGAAGTAGCTGAGCGTGGGTGGCGTGTGGGGTCGGGTGACGTTTACCAGGATGGAGATGGCACTGCCAGCCCTGGGCTGGAAGGTGCAGGTGTAGGTGCCCTGCACCCCCACACTTACCTCCAAGCATTGCTGCCATGCATCTTCCCTGTACGAGGAGAAGGGAGCTAGTCAGCCCCACCATGGTGGCCACACTCCCCTCACCCACTGCCAGCCTGTTCTGGGGCCACCCTGTCACTACAGCCAGAACTGCCTCACTCCTCCTACACTTGCCCAGGAAACCACCACTGCCCATAGTCCAAGGGCCAGTGTGGCCAGGAGTGAGGTGGATGGCAGTAGGGCAGGTCAGGGCACAGAGCCTGGTGGCATAGTGTGGGATGAGGGACACTGAGCAGGGCTGGTGCTCCCAGGGATGTGCCACCCCTCCTCCTGAGCGCTGCATCCCCACCATGCTCCTTACCTTGTGCCAGCCCCACTCGGAAAAAGCTGGTAGAAGAGCTGGTGGGAGCTGTGGGTCTCTGCAGGGTCCCAGCTCCACTCACAGTGCAAGTGCCGCAGGTCAGGGGTGCTGCAGGACAGCCCGATGTCTCCTGGGCAGGTCAGAGCCAGGGCAGGGAGGGGGCTGCTTCCCCTGGCTCCCCAAAACCTGGGTGCTGCACCTTGCCTACTCCAGGACCCCCACCCCTCACAGCCCCAGGCGTGGGTACCTCCCCGCTGTGCCTGCCAGCACCTTGGTGGTGGGCATGGCTGCTCACCAGAGGAACGGGGTGTCTCTGCAGCCACTGCCTGTGACCAGGGTCCCCAGAAGCCATCCATGGAGGTGCCGTCAGGCTTGCTGCGCACCTGGATGTGGTACCTCACCCCTGGCTGCAGGTCTCGGATGACCACCCAGGTGTTGGCCTGGACGAGCCCCTGCAGGAGAGGGGACAGGCTGGGGAGCAGCTGTGGCCCCTGAACCCCCCTGCCCTTCCCTGGCACCTCTCTGTACCTGCCCCGCTCCCGGGGGGGCTGCAGCTGTCCCGGCCGTGGGTGTGTGGGTGCTGACTTCTGGCTGGATGTAGGGGTCCCCGGGATGCTGCCCGCTGTGGTCCAGTGCAGTGCTGCAGGGCATCTCCGGGGGGCTGGCAGGGCAGCACCGCACCTCGTAGAGGAAGAAGTTTGGGTAGTCGGCGAGTGGCGGCTGCCAGGACACGTAGAGCTGCCCCACAGCCCCAGCCCAGTGGGCCGTGATGTTCACCGGGGGGGCGATGAGCCCTGCGGGGAACGTGCCGGGGTGTTTGCCCTCCTGCGACAGCCCCCATCTGGTTCCCCCCTGGTCCTGCTGGGTGCTGCCAGCACACGTGGCAGGCAGAAGGGCAGGGCACCCAGGTCCTGGGCCCATCCTGGTCTCACAGAGGTGTTCCCCAGCGTGAGGGACTCACCCACTGTATCCACGCTGAGCTCCCGCTGGTACTTGGTCTGGTTTGTGGTGATGTCCAGGACATGGAGGTGGAGCTGGGTGAAGAGCCGCACGTCCTGGCTGGGGAAGATGCAGGCGTGCCGTGTCCCACCAGCCCCACGGCGCCATGTGGAAACCGTGCATGCCCTGGGCATGTCCCTGAGGAACGAAGAGTGAGGTCCTGCAGCACCCCATGCCTCCTACCCAGGGCCAAAGCAGAGGAGAGGGGGCCTGGGGCATGGCACTGAGACACCAGTGTCACCAGCTCCTTCCTTGTGCCCCCATCCGCTGAAGAACACCATCCCCGTGGGTCTGTGGGACAGCCAAGATCCCAGCCCTGCTGCAGGGTGTGTGGTGGCTGCTGTGTAGCTCCCCTGGGCTCTCCACCACCTCTTCTGGCAGCTGGGAGCCACCAGGAGGGAGAGCTATGGCACCCCAAATCTGATGCTCCCTGTGCGGGCAAGAGGGAGGCTGGGCTGTGTCCCCACCACCTCCTACCTGCTGTACCAGTAGTAGAAGTGGCACGTCCTGCTCGCCTCTTCCTCCTCCTCCTCATCCCAGAAGCAGGTGAGGTCCTCAAAGGAGCGGGAGAAGCAGAGGATGTTCTCGGGCACCCCTGCCAGCAGTGCAGCATCTGGGAGGAGTATGAGCATGAAGGAGCCCCTGGACACAAACCCATCCCCATTGCACATGTGTCCCACCACCCTGTGCCCACTGGCCAGCTCGCCCCAGAGGCAGCATGGACACAACCGTGGACGTGGCACAGGTGCCCTCCACCAGCTTGGGGTGGCAGGGAGGGACGTGGCACGTGTGATGGCCACTGCTTGCACCAGGGTCCCAGCTAGCAGCAGGGCTCCCGGCCGGCCGGCCCCACCGCTCCCCCCTCCTCAGCACACAGGGTCCTTCGGGACAAACAAACATCCCGAAATAGCCCTGCGGTCGGAGGGGGCTCAGGGCCCGGCGATCGGGGGGAAGCACCCCTGCCCTGCGCACGCCGGAAGGTGCGCGGAAGTGAGATAAGGAGGAGCAGCGCCCAGGGGAGAGGGAGAAGGCCCCAGGGCTGGCGAGGGGGCGTGTGGTCCTGGGCAGGGGGGGATGCTCTAACCCCAGCCTGGGGACTGCTTGGGGGGCTGTGGGTTTCTCTGCCCCACGCAGCCCTCTCTGTCGTTGCAGGGATGAACTGGAGCATCATGCCCTGCAGGATCTCCATCCCAAGCAGCGGTGGCTTTGCTGGCACAGGGACGCCTGTCCCCATTGTCAGGGAAAAGGGGACAGCCACACGATGGAGATGAGTGAAGTGCGGGGGTGGCCTTGCTGCCCCCAGCATGGCTCCAGCACTCCCTTCTCCCCCAGTGCCTTTGCCCTGGGACCTGTTCCAGCCCTCCTTCTCCTCTTCCTCCTCCTCCTGGGATGCATCCCCTTCCCCAGGGGCTGCCCCCAGCTGCAGGACCCCACAACAAGCCCCCTGCCAGTGCCTGGCCCTGTTGCATGCACTGAGTGCATTTGTTCTCTGCTACACGCCCCCTGTGCTGCTAGTTGAGCCCACCCTGGGTGAAGAATAAGGGACAGTCCCCAAATGTCCTTGCCACCTTCTTGCTGTCCCTCTGCTCTCCCTGTCCCTTCTCTTGCCCTGATGCCCCCAGCCCTGTTCCTCCTCCCCCAGCCCTGTGTTACCTTCCTCCCCCAGCCCTGTGTTGCCTTCCTCTCCCATCCCACGTCCCTTCCTCACAGACCACAGTCCCCCCCACTCCTTGCTCTTCCCCTTTTGCACACTGTTGCCCCCACCCAGCCCTCATGCCAGCACCAGGGGGTGAGGGGGGGCAGGTCCCAGCAGTCCCGTGGCACAGGGATCCATGGCATTGGTGGGAGGCCACACCGGTCCTGTGGGCTACCGAAGCATCTCTGCTGGGCACAGGTTGTTTCCTAGGAAGAGTGGCCAGATGGCTCTGCAGCCCACATCAGCCACGCTCAGGTGGTGACCTGCCAAGCTGGCGGTGGGCTCGGGGCACTGCAATGTTGCAGAGGCTGCAGGCAGAGTCCAACCCCCCACCTTCCTCCCACTGCCCCTACTCAAAATGTGCTCTAGAACCTGCCATGGCCAGAGACCTGGGAGAGAACTGGGCTGGAGAGACAAGCAGGAGATCAACAGGGTTTTGTTGAGTTAGTACTTTTTATGGTGTTAGAGAAGGTGTTAAAAGGGCTGAAGAGGGCCTCGAAGGAAGGGCGGAGGGGCCTGAAAAGGGAGGAAGCCGGGAAGTGTCTCTGCCAGGCGCAGCGAGCCAGGCTGGGGCCAGCTACCAGCTGAGCTGAGGATGCTCAGTGGGGCACTACGGTCACACAAGGCTGGTGCAAGAGCATTGGGATCAGCCTGGCAGTGCCACCCTATTACCCCTGCTGCAGAGTTGTGCCATCAGATGCCATCTTGAATTTTGCTCAGACCCTTGTCATCATAACTCCAAGAACTTTCGATGAACCGGGAGCCCCTCTGCTGTCTGTGTGAGACTGGGAGCCCCAGGCTGCCATCCAAAAGGGGCACCTAGGGGCTGCCAGGTCCTGTCTGCAGAGAGCAGGGATGTCTCTTTTCTCTGGGCACCCCAGGGTGTCTCACGGGTGAGAAGGGCTCTTCATCACCCACCCTGAACACCCCCTGCACACCTTCCCGGGATGCCCCTTCCCCAACCCTGCAGATTTGGGCTGCCGTGGGATGCTTACTGCCCGTGCCCAGCATGCCAGCTCCTCTCTGCCCCATCCTTCGGGGGAGAAAATGGCCCCAAGGACCTACCTTGGGATGTCACTGGCTCGGAGGCTGACGTCGGGCTGTGGAAGCTGAGCAGGATGGCAGGGAGCAGTGAGGGCAGCCAGCCCTGGTGCAGGCAGGCTGCCATCCTGCCACCCCTGTGCCGGGGCCGCGCGTGCCCTGCTCAGCTCTTCCCGGCACCCTGGGAGCTGCAGCGGCTCCTCCGGGTGATACCTTTATCTGGGAAGTGGTGGCTGTGCAGCTCAGGAAGCCTGGCTGGAGGCTCCCCCCGCCCCATCACCAGCACTTCCTCGTGCCTGAAACCACCGTCCCACAGCCCCTCCGCCGCCAGCCGCAGTGCCAAGGGAGACTGCTCCTATCAGATAGGGGGCACGTCCTGCCCTTGTGGCTACCGGCACGCCGGGAGGCTGGAGTAGGAAGAAAAACAACCCCTGAGAAACCAGGGAGGCCCCCACATGGGGCAGGGAGGGCAGGGCAAGCTGTTGGGGGCTGCAGGCACACAGGAGCATGGGGCAGGGGGTGGCTGCTCCGGCTCCATCCCTCCCTGTGCCACTTGGCACTGGTGTGTGTCTGCGTGGCTCAGTGGCTGTGCCAGGAGGAGGGCTGCAGGCACAGGGGGCATTGGCAGGGCCCACACAGACGTTAGTGGTACTGGTGCAGGAGCAGGACCACCACAGTGGGGTCCTACAGGCACGCTCAGCCTCGTGCCAACCCACCACTGCCACTCGGTGTGGGTGGCCAGAGGGTGTCCCACTCTGCCAAGGCACAGCACCACAGCACAGCCCAGGGAGCACCAGCCAGGGCACGAGGAGCTGCTTCCACACGCACCCCCACCACCCCAAGGGTGGGTTGGCTTCTCCTTGCCCTGCAGCCATGGGGGGCACTGAGGGCAGCCAGGAACAGCCAGCACCAATTTGTCACACTTAAATTTTGTCAAACCAGTCCCACTTCCTTCTCCATCCGGCTACTGGGCTTTGCCATCAGGGAGGCAAAAAGCACAAACCCCTTGGTTTGAGCAGGGCTGATGCTGCTGCCTCAGACCCTGTTCCCAGCCAGCAGCAGAGGAGGTGCAGAGGCTGTGGCACACGTCAGGCTGCCTGTGGAGGCTGGTCCCCATCACTGTTTCACCCCCTCAGTGATGGGGCACAGAGGCCTCAGCTGCAGTTGACACCAAAGAGCACTGGAGACCAGAATGGGAAATCAAAATGATATTATTGACAGGGTTGAAACACCTTCTGGGGAAAAAAGGCTCTTGCCCAGAAGGGCAAATGCAAATGCCCCTGCCTTCGGCTGGGATACTGGGCTCCAGAGGAGCAGCCCTTGCTTCCCATGGACCACAGAAGACAGCTAGACAGGCAGCTGGATGGCACGCCTAGGGCTTAGGAAGCTGAAGCCAACAGGGATGAAGCCCACCCACTGTCAATATAACAAACACAGCAGTGCAGGATGAGAGATGGCGGCCTGGGGCAGGAGCTCCCTTGGGAGGGTGAGGGCAGAGCCCAGGTGTTCCTCAAGGGACCGGCACATGAGAATCTCCCCAGCAGCAGGTGTTGGAGCAGGCTGGTCAAGCACGACGGTCCCGTTGCAAGAGGTGGGGAGTTACCCCATAGCCCGGTGCTGTGCAGGGGCTGGCTGGACACGGTGGGAAGGGTGTGGAGCTGCACAGCCCGGCGGGGAGTGGATGGAGGAGCGGGGCTGTCCCGAGGGGAGGCTACAGGAACAGCTTTCAAGCATGCAAGAGGTGGCTGCACAGAGGAAGGATTCAGTCCATTCACCATGTCCCTTGCGCACAGGACAAAGTCTCCAATTGCAGCGGGAGGACATCCCAGCCAGTTTACTAAGAAAACCCATCCCCATGGCATGATGAGATCTGAGTCTTGTCAGGCGGTGCTGGGGCAAACCTGAGGATCACTGGAGGACCCCAGCAGGGACAGGATCCCGAGGAGTGCCCACCACAGCAGCAGACCATTGGGGCCCCGCATTCTGTTCCTTGGTGCCATCAGAGTGGCAGAGTTGGGTCATTTATTGTCCATAAGGCAGGGCTGATACCTCTGAAGGGTTACAGAAGAGCCGGAGGCTGTGCACAGCCAACGCTGTCCCTTGTCCCGGGGTGGCTCCGTCCCACGCTGGCAGCCCAGCTGGCATCACGTCAGGCCCAGAGCATGCTGAGAGCTGCAGGGCAGGCAGCTGCTGGGTTGATCCTTCCCCTTTTGCCCCAAAGCTTGGCCATTTGTGTCCATGGGCTCAGGCAGCAGCACCCTCTCCTGCCCGCTCTGCTGCAAACACCCTGGTGCTGCTTATCCTCGGGGACCATCCCAGCTTGTCCCCCCAGCAGCATGGGGCTGTGTCTGTGGACGGTGGCACGTCAATGTGACCATCACACGCTGGGTGGGCAGCCAGTGAGGGGATGGCACAGTCCTGCTGCAGTGAAGGCGCTCTCAGGAAGGGACACTGGCATTTGGGCACCTGCCTCCAGAGGTGGGAGGGCAGCCCCTCGTCCCCACAGCACTGTCCCAGCAGGCTGGGGCCAGCGTTGCCCTTCTGCGTGGTGCCAGCTCAGCCTCACGCCTCCTCAGCGGTGGCATCAATCCCTGCGTAGGTGAAGTTCTCGAAGAGGGCCATGTTCACGTAGGCCTGTGGGAGACCTCCAGTCAGGAGCCAGTTGTGCCAGTGTCCCCATCTACCTCCCATCCCCGCTGGCACACTCGTGGGCAGTGTGCCCTGGGGGGAAGTGATAGGGCTCCCAACACCCAATAAGTGATGCTGGGTTTAACCCCACAACATAGTGGGGGTCACACAGGTTCTGCTGCTGGATATTCCCCCCTGAGCCCAAGGGATGCTCCAGCATTCAGACAAGCCACACGCAGGGTGGGCACCCCTCCTGGTGAGCCTCCATCACTCACCTTCCTGGCCTCCAGCATGCGGATGAGCTGCATGGAGATCTGGGAGAAGGGTGGGCGCTCGTAGGGGCGGTCACGCCAGCACTGTCGCATCAGCTCGTACCTGGGGGCAGAGAGCCAGCAGTGGCTCAGTGTATATGGGGGGAGAAGGGGCAGAAAAGCTGTTTGTGGGAGATGGAGGGAAGCAGGCAGGAAACTGAAGCCCAGGAAGGACTTCTGGGGTGTGGGACCTCAGCTCATCCCCCAGCCACAGTGTAGAAGGGAACCAGGAAGGAGCTACTGCAAGTCAGTGGGAGCCCCGTGGGGCAATGGGGTCAGGGGGACGTGGGTGCTGCCATCAGCCAGGGCTCTCTGCCCACTTACACCTCATCATCGCAGTTGCGTGGTTTCTCCATGCGGTAGCCCTGGGGCAGCTTCTCGTAGAGCTCAGCGCACGTCATCCCGCAGTATGGTGTCCCCCCTGCAGCCAGAAACACACAGCTGGCTGCAGCAGGAACAATCCCCAGGGTATCCCCTCTGGTGCTGCAGGAGGACCAGACCTGCAGATACCCGAGTGGAGGCAGGGGACATAAAGAAGTCTTACCCAAGCTGACGATCTCCCAGAGCAGGACGCCAAAAGACCACCTGTAAGAGCAGGAGCCAAGGCTGTGATGGAGTCCCCAGCCATGCCCAACTCACAGGCACCAGGCAAAGCAGCTAGGGCTTGGAATGAGCTGGCAGCTCCCCAGGGAGATGCATCAGCATCATCTCCTGCCCTTGCAGCAGCCAGAGCAAAAGCATCACTGCACTGACCAACCCCAGAGAGGGATGGAGGCAGCCACTGCCATGTCCCAGCCTCGGTACCCCTGCTTGCAGGACTTACACATCACTCTTGGTGGTGTACACACTGTAGTTCAGGGACTCGATGGCCATCCAGCGAACTGGCAAGCGGCCCTGGGGAAACAGAGAATGACCGTCAGAGGAGGGAGATGCTCCACAGAGGGAGGGCAGCCATGACCCAGCCAGTCCCAGCACAGTGGGTTGTTCCCACTGACAGCAGGTGTCCTGCCCATCACATCAGTGCAGGCCCCATGGAGATGCATTGATCCTGCCTCACCATTGTCTTCTTCACATAGACCTCCTCCCCCCTGGAGAGGCCGAAGTCTGCAATCTTGGAGGCCAGATTTTCTCCGACCAGGATATTCCTGGCTGCCAAGTCCCTGTGAATGAACTGACAGGGGCCAGCAGTCAGCAGCAGCCACGTGCTCCCTCCTGCTGGTCCCAGGGGACTCGTACCCTGATGGGGAGTCCCCAGGCCCCAGGGGAAGGATGGTCTGAGGGGCTTGCTGGGGATGTACCTGCTTCTCACTCAGGTACTGCATCCCCTTGGCAACATCTGAAGCAAACTGGAGAAGCTGCTGGGAGGTGAGGGTGGAGGCGGTGCCATGCTCCTTGGCAAAGGCTGGGTCCGTCTCCAAGACTCGGCTTTTGCGAAGGAAGTCAAGGAGGTTTCCGTAGGGAGCGTACTCAATGGCGATGTACAGGTAGCCTGGGGGACAGGAGGAGGTTGGGCTCACGGGGCTTTCACCAGCAAAGAGGAACACACAGCCAGCCAGGGGCTGTGGGCGTGGGGAGAGGGGAGAGGGGGACGGCCCTCACCCTTGTTCTCACAGGCACCCAGCAAGTTGATGATGTTGGGGTGATGGCCCAGTTTGCACAGCACCTCCAGCTCCCCAGCAAAGTCCCTATGGTCGTTCTCCGAAGCAAACTCTGAAAACAAAGAAGGGATGGACACCTCAGTCTTACAACAAGGGCCCTTCCTCTGCTCCTCTGATGATGGCTACTGCCCCTCCTCAGCCTCGAGCATAGCCCAGAATGCAGCTGCAGAGAAGCAGCTACATCCCCCTGCCGAGAAGCTGCAGAGAAGCAGCTACATCCCCCTGCCCACTTCCCCTCATGCTCACCTTTCAGCATTTTGATGGCTGCATTCATTTTCAGCCCATCCTTTTTGATCATAGCCCTGATGACCTGCCCGAAGTTGCCCTCCCCAATCATGTCCTCAAATTTGATATCTTCCCACTCCAGGATGGGGTAGCTGAGGGGCTCAGGCTGTGGCTTGGGCCGGCGTGTCAGGGTGAGGGTCCCTGAGTTGAACTGCAGGATGGTCTCTTCCCCCTGGCAGATGGGAATGGGTGAGGTTAGAGGCACCAGGCACCCTTCTGCCCACGCGGCAGTCCCAGCAGGGCAGGGTGGTGGGCAAGGGTGGGCTCCGCACCCTCTCTGTGTGGAAGTGAGGTCTGGCTGCATCCGGACTGGAGGCTA